TAGTCTCATGTAGAGCCCACTGCATTAGTTTAGCGAGTAGCTATTAGTGCATGAATTACTGATGTAAGGCATGCTGGCTCAAGTAGGGTTGTGTTATATTCTCAGCATGGTAGCTAAGAATATGCCCTAGCCAGGATTTCCATTTGCTGTTTGAGCAGGAACTGGAAGGTCAAGAGGACTTCTATGTTACAAACCTCATCTTTCAGGAGTAGGATAGGGAAGTAAGTTTTACTCTAAACTTGTTTTGGTCCATCAAGATCTTCACAGATTCCAGATACAGGTTCAAGACTTCCATGGCATCTCTGGCCCAGTCTGAATATACATTAAGTGTACTGGTGACACTTCACCCTGAAACATCTGATGACTTCTCTCAGTGGTTTCATTTAAATAACAAAAAGGAAAACACTAAACCCTGTGGTTTTCTACACTGGAACTCAAGTGCTTTTTCCCCAGGACCACTGACAGGAACCATCCACTCAGGTGTGAGCAGATCCATATTAGAACAGTGTTAATAATTCCAATGCATGTAACAGTCCAAAATGATACAATGTTTGATAATATTGAATACCACCAAGAGTTAAATGGAGCCAAGAGGGCATATTTCTGTCATCTAGATCCCTATGAAGGTCATCTATCAGATGACCAATGCCATTTCTGTCTCATAACTGGGATTGAATACAAACTGGAAAGGATCCAAATAATCTGTTTTTCTAGGATCCTCTAGTTGATTCCTATCACTTTCTCAATAACCTTCAACAGATGGGAGGTTGGAGACCAAGCAAGGATTATGAAACAAGGCTGGATCCAAGAACTACTACTTCATTCAAATCAAATGGCATTACCCATCTCTCTTAAATTACATAGATTGCCTTCCAGATCCAAAGCCTCATGCCTCAACTTGTCATCTAATGCAGTCAGTAGGGGCATGAGTCAAATTTACAAATTGGTAGTGTTAATGTTACAGTGATCCCTATCTGATTCCACAGGTCCTACATACCCAAACATACCCCAGATTACAACACAAGATTCCTTCTCTGTCATCACCATGGGCTTTGCCCATTTCTTACCAATCTACAATGTATATGAATTGATTTATGGATTTATCTGCCAAGCCATGAATTTATCCAGTATAGCTACAGGTGTTTCTCACCTGCATCTTCCTATAAAAGGGTCTAAATAATTCTGAATAGGGCCACCAGGTGGGAATTTTCAGACTACTTAAGTACAGAGAATATCACTGCTTTTATCATCACAGTGTAAGTTCAGATAGATCTAGCAATGCTTACTTAATTTAGTTCCGGTTTTCTGACTTCATTGCTCTAGGCAAATTTTCAAATATCCCCCCCTCCTTCCTCAGTAAACTAAGAACTCAACTTGAAAATGATAACATAAAAGAGATCTCATTGGAGCTGCCTCAGGTGCTTTGGCTGCCTCCCTATTTCACAGATCAATTAAGATGGATCTACCTAATACGATTTTGTCAAAAGTCTGCCCATCTCATTCTGCAGTAGCTGTTGCAAAGTTTCCTCCTCTTGCTTATATAGATTAATAGATACATACACTGTAAAGTAAATGGAATATGGTTTCCATCTGCCTAAAATACAGGTGAAAGGCCAGAATTGCTGAATATACCTATGTTTGAGTAAGAGTGCATTGTAATTTCTCTTTTGCTGATACATAAACAGATACATATACTTTTCCTTTATCGGGAGGCATGGTTATTCCCAGAAAATGTGAGCTCCAATAACCCACAAACAGATTTTTAAAAGTATCCAAAGAATCTTCAAAAAATAAAAATAAAAGCTAATTGCTAGGAAATAGAAACAGAAGCTATCCTTAGTAAATAAGGACCTTGGAAATAAAGAATAGTATGATCCCTAGGATTCAAATGATGGCCATGCCTAGAACAAACAGTGAAGAAGATCTAGCTGAGAAATTGTGCCATCTTACCTTTTGTCAAACTACAACATAGGGACCAAAAGGCTGTTGAAATTGACTACAGGATATTGACTATAATTCTCTTGCTAAAGACTGGGTCATTCCTTAGAAATGGAATCTCAAACTCAAATTGTTGGGTCCATCTGAGGAGTAGTTTATTGGCTTGGGTTAAAACATTGAAGTCTTTGATACAAAAGTCTTTAATAAATAAAAAATGGAGAATATCATGATATGCCATTAAAGTATATTTTAAAAATGTACTGCAAAACAGTAAAGTTTCTTGCAAAACAGTTATTTCACTTCAACCAATTCTCAGTGATTTCATTAATTAGTATTTGGTTTGTTACTGGGTTGATATGTAATTTTTTTCCAGGATCATATTGAAGAGGATAAGGGAAAATAATTCCATGAAGAGCTGTCCAAATCCCTGCTTTTCTCTTACTTCTTTCTCTTTCCTTTTTCTTCTGCCCTTTTTCTCAAGAGATTTTGCTTGCTTGCTTATTGCTTTCTGTTTTTCCCATTTCCTGCAAAGTTGTGAAAAACTCAAGATAGGGTAGCCAGTCTTGTCCCTCTGCCTTTCAGCTATTTTCTGTCTCCCTTCTCTGGGCAATTCCAGCATCTCTTTTGTTGCCAAATCCCATCTTCCTATTGCTCCTGCCCAAACAGCCTGGCACTGCTTTGGAAGCAGCATTTGCCATGAAGCGTGAGAGTGGGTGGGATTCCCAGACAACAGTTGAACTTGGCACAAGAGGTTTGCGGAGCTGACTATGTGGCACAACTGATCAGGTCCTGCTGTTGTTCTTCCTGTTACTCAGCCTGAGCACTTATATGCCACTCAAGGAACTAGCCTTGATGGCCAGTGTCCTTAGTGGCAGGTCATAGAAAATGACTTGAAGGTTCTGCATCTGCCCGTAGGTTGTAAAATTGAGACCACTGCTCTAAAATATGAGCCACAATCAGTAGTGGGTTTCAATTTCGACCGCTATCTGTTCACTCGTGGGCGCTTATGCACAGAGACGTCCGAGCAGTTGGGCGGAGCCTCCTGCCGCCACCACCGCTACCAGTTCCCCTGATCCAGGGCGAACCGATAGCAACCCATCACTGGCCACAATGCACTACTGTGGATAGGATATCTAAAGAATGATGAGCTTTAGCTAACTCAAGTAAGAGATACAAGGCACTTCTGTAAGGGAAGAGATAATCATGTTGATCCAGTTTTTATATTTGTTTCTGTTTTGTTTCCTCCATTTTGCATTTTTATTGTCATGGTTTTCTTTGGGTTTCTCTTTGTTTTACAGTTCTTTTGGGCTCGTTTTTTGAGACTGTTTGATGCGTTGGCTTCCCATCTGCTGCTTATAACCATCTCAACCATAAGTTGTGAGTGAGCCATCATAATGCTTCTTATTTTTTTTGTTTGTGTTTGTTTTAATAATGAGTATAATTCTTGAGTTTTTTCTCCATTTATTTTGTTTCCATGAAATAATTTTTGCTTTCAATATTTTATGCATAGGCCAGGAGCTTTCTGGATTTTGAATTTATGGGAATTTGGCCCTTGTAGAACTGCAATAAATCATATGTTGACGATCCTTTGGGCCTTAGGAACAATCTCTATTTAAAATTTGTAATTATTGTGCAAAAGCTGAAGATGCCAAATCCTGTTTACACCCATGAAGATATATTTCCTTTAGAAACATGTTCCCAAAATTGTGGAATCCTAACAATAAGAGGAAGTGACAGTTCCTCAAAGTTTTGTTTTAGCATATGCTAAGGAGACCAAAATATTTGTTAAAGCCAATACAATTGTGACATTTATTTTTTATTTATAATAATTTTTAAAAATATATATTTCCAAATATACTGAAGAACATCTAGGATTATTTAATAATTTGTTCCAGGAAGTAGAGTATATAACACTGGTGATTTATGTTTATGTGACTGAAATTTATGTGACTAAACTCCTGGTTTGGAGTTAAGTAAGCAATGGCCCTCTTTTAGTATCAGTACATCATGTAAATTCTGAAAATCAGGCTTCAGTTATTAAATAATTGAAGGTAGAAGATTCTGTCCAAAGTTACACAACTAGATGCACAACAGAATACCTATCCTTATGCTCTGCATTGTACCACCTCCTTGTATTTGGCCTTCTAATTTTTGGAGCATTTTTGAGGAGTTACAGGGAGCAAAAGGCAATTCTCCAATGGTACGCGTTATGCTGATAGATGACTGCCTATCTACACTTTGTGGAATCCAACAAAAACATTAGTACAATGGAGACCCAGTTGCTGCTCTTTCTTTGTTTTTCATAGATAATTTTTTCAGCACAATAAAAGGAACCAAAATTATTGACACTGAATTTATGCTCATCTATGAATCATAATCCGTCCTGGTTTTTTTCTTAAACAATGTATATGTACAATACTCTGTATACAAACACACATGCACACACACACATTTATATATTTCTTTCTGATAGTTTTCAAATGTGATATTTTCAAATGTACTTTAAAATATATAGGGATATTCCTGAACTTTTTATTTCCTGGCACCAAAGGGATTCTATCCATGTGAATTAAGATGGAGCAGTAGAAAGAAACTGAGTTAGCAACTGAAGTACTTTGGTAAGAAAGATGAGGTTGTTATCCCTTAAGAAAGTTGAGGTTGTTATCCCTCTACTGTATAGTCAAAGGAATATGTTTTTGACATTAGCTTGCTCTTAAGTTTCTGACGCCAGTGGTTTTTGTACTCGAAAAAAATACGTTGCTTGTTATCCTTTGTCCACTGAAGTCTATAGTATTTTCTGTGGAGATCTTATCTTTTTAGATTTTTTTTAAAAATTGATAATTTCAATTTATCTTACAATGGTGTTTTCCAGCAGGAACTGTTATTGTTTCTAAAAGATAGTTCAAAAATCAACTTTAATCCAAATGTCTAATTTGACCATCAATTCATCTTAATATTTGTCATCAAAATGGTTTGTGGACCTAAACAACGAAGAAAAGGTGGACAGCTTTGCATACTTTCACATTAAAAAAAATAAATTTAATGTATCTTCTTTCCATTAGCCTCGCAATGTTGCTGGCTTCCGGGGAACAGTCCGGTATGCGTCAGTGAATGCACATAAAAATAGAGTAAGTGTTATCTTTATGTGTATGGAAGGAGTAAAATGAGTGAGATTAAAGGAAAAGTATCCCTTTGCAATATTTTGCACTACCCAAATCAAACTGACTGTGGGGCACTCAGAAGAGCAAACCATAAACAGAATATTTGCACCATTTAAAAAGAAGCAGCTCCCACAAATGATCAGTTGTTCACCATTTGCTAATAGTCCAAAAGCCTGTTGAAATAAATTGTTGAAATTATGAGCAATTGAATCTATAGTGACTGCATGTTTCTCAGTTTGCAGACTGCTAGCAAGAACTCCAGTTCCTTTGTACACAGGGTGGGTGGGTCGGTGGCAGTAGTGAGTTGCAAATCCCGGCACTACCAGTTTGCTCGTGGGGGCTCGCGCGCACGCACGATGCTTCCGCGCATGTGCAGAACCATCTGGGCATGTGGGCAAAGCCTCCCGCCACCGCCGCTACCAGTTTGCCACATCCGGGGCGAACCGGTAGCAACCCACCACTGGTTGGTGGGATATTTAGCATGCTTATCGTAGATGCTGGGAGTGGATAGGTGGAATCATATTTTGTAAGGTGGTCCCTGACTGTCCAATCTCTTCTTAAAAATCTCCAGTGTTAGAGCATCCACAACTTCTGAAGGCAAGCTGTTGCTCTGCATTCATCTTGTTCCATCTGCCTGAAGGAGCAAGGAGAGACATGGATCTAATTCCTAGGGAGTGGAATTCATATTACAGAGGCCCCTGTCCACTGCTTCAGATTCTCCAGGCTTAAAAGAATTCTGGATTGAAACACAAAATGCCGCTCTTCTTAACTCACATGATAGGTTATTAATGATCGAGGCATTCTAATAAATTTTCTGCCGTTACAAAGGTCTAGAGTGCTGATAGTCTGCAATATTAGATTCCATTATCTTGAATATCAGAATTTATACGCATGAAGCAGTGTTTATTAATATTTTTTCCCAGCACAGCAGTTTGCCAACTGCCTTACATTGCGTTACTAGTGGCTTGACTGTTCAAACATGAACAGACATTGTAATCTAAACAAAAAGTATACAAGGAAGCTTCTTTCCTGCTGAACGTGAATTGGATGATTTGAAGCTGATGGAATTTATAGGTGGTTCTTCTGCTGAGCTTTGAACTTTGAGCAATTACTCTTTTTGAATGGGAGAATTTTTAGGATGGTCTGCCCATAGAGGCTGTTAGTTTCCAATGAATGCTAGAGGGCTTTTGGATATTTTTCTGGCTAGTATGAGAGATGTCCTTGTTGAAGTGCAGATTATGTTGGGACAGATTTGCTCTAAACTGCCTCTTCACTGTGCAAAGCTCATTCAGTCACTTAGCAATTAAATAAGTTAAGATATAACTGGAATATAACATGGATTCTTATTCTTCAGTACAAAGAAGGTTAAAAGATAAATCTCCTTCAGTGCAGCAGCTTAAGGATTTAGGCATATTTTAGGATACTGTTTAGAATAACAGTAAAATCAAGCCAGTTCCAGTACAATCGGGCATATACTACAATGCAGAATGGGGAAAAAAGGGCTTGTCTTCATGAAATCTATAAATTTCAACTTCGAATTTCTTCCAGCTATAGTCTTGTTTATGTCTCTTTTGGTATTACAAAATAGTAGGCATGTTCTTTTTTGACCTTGTGTAGTTCAGACACATCAAGATGTGCAGCATGCATCATAGAGTTTCATTACAATTACTCCACATTACTGATGTGGAGTAATTTCTCAACAGACAAGACAATACAGAAAACTGCACTGAAATTAGAATGTATGGAAATTACTGGTTTTGATTTTTAACTCTGGTTACATGAACTGTTAAGTTTTATTACATAATATACTGCATATACAATTGATGTTTTTGTAATAGCTCCTAGGTAGCAATAGTTTCCTGCCATTGTGGACAGTGTTAGCAGCTAAATTAGGTACAATATTTTGTAACTTTTTGTTTTTTTGCAGGAAATGGGCCGACATGATGATCTGTGGTCCCTTTTTTACATGCTGGTAGAGTTTGCTGTTGGTCAACTTCCATGGCGCAAGATTAAAGATAAGGTAGAAAATATAGTCAGCAACAATTCAATACCTCCCTTTTCAAGATGAATAATAAAACAATTTTAAAAAACCTGCTGGATTCTATAAAGGCCTATGGGATGTGCACAGCAGTACATCAGAACATTTTCTTGATTGTGTATGCCAGCAGTCAAAGTTTCAGTGTTCAGAAACAATTTTGCTTTTGATACTGGAATTATATATAATCACCACAATGAACAGAGGTTAATATCTTAACTTGAAGCCATGTATTGTTTTGTATTATTTGCCAATGATATTTATTATAAGTAGCATTCTATGATGATGGAATCTGTAATTTTCCAGAGGGCTTTTCTGGAGAGCTTTTAGGGTATAATGCACATGTTTTTATTTTGTTTTTATTTTTTTTAATGTATTTATCTTATGTATTAATACATTCCTTATTTTTGTGAGCCACCAAAACCCTGTTTATGATTACAGCAGGATATAATTAATACATACATACATACATGCAAACAAATAAATGAATTTGATCTCTTTAGGAACAAGTTGGTATGATTAAGGAGAAATATGAACATCGAATGCTGCTAAAACATATGCCTTCTGAGTTCCACCTTTTTCTGGATCACATTGCAAATCTGGATTATTTCACCAAACCAGATTATCAGGTAAAATCCTATTTTTATTACTATCTTGAAACAAGTCAATAATTTAGATTTCCCACATGAAACTGGTTTAATAAGAACCAGTAGTTTTCAGTATACGTTGCAGGACCTCCCCTCAGTGATCAGACAGGTGTCTAAAGATGAAGATTATTTTAGCCCCAAATTGTTTAGAGTTTTGTAAATCATGACCAAATTTTTCAATATGGCTCAGTAATAATTGGGAGCTAGTTTAGTTGCTCCAGCAAACATACAACATGTGCACGAACAGCTGTTCACTCAGCAATCTTGTAACATTATTCTGCACCAGCCGCAACTTCTAGAGCAAGGCAAAAATACCCTGCATATACTAATGAATACATAACCAGGTGTAAATACTAATACTACTGAGACAATTCCTGCAGAAAGGAACAAAATCACTCTAACATAATGTTCCCAACTCACAAAGACCATCTAGAAAAGTATCACGGACAACCAATCATAGCCACTTAGAAATCAAGTAGTGTCAGGAGAGCTGTACTTGACCCTACTCTTCCCATAAAACTGAACTATCTCACTTTGAGTTACACTGACAATGTTGTTTGTACTGATTCTTTGGTTACCCTACTCGTCTGCAAATGGGCAGAAGATTACTATTGTTTTATGATTAGTTTATTACGTGTTTTGCTGCTGTTTCTATTGTAAACCATTTCAGTGGTTTGGCATGGGAAGTGATATATGACTACATTAAACAATATAAAAACTACTTACATAGCTCCTTTGAGAAAATTGCACAGATTGACTACAAATAATGGCATGACACAGTAGCAACAATGGTGCAGTGGACTATCTGCAAGAAATACCATTTCCCTGCCATTTGTGGTCCCACCAGCAAGAACTTGTGGGACCACAAAGTGGACAAAGTAATAGAAAACGAAGAAGCTAAAGTGCTTTGGGACTTTAGAATTCAAACAGACAAGCACCTGCCATATTACCTCAGACTTTGCAATTGTCGATAAGAAAGACAAAAAAGACTGGACGTTGCAATATCTGGAGACAGAATAGAAGAGAAAGAAATAGAGAAAATCACAAAATACAAAGAACTGCAAACAGAAGTAGAAAAACTGTGGCAAAAGAAAGCAAAGGCAATACCAATAGTAATAGACACTTTGGCTGCAATTCCACAACATCTTTACATCATTGGCATCACTATCAGTCAATTGCAAAAGGAAGCTTTAGTAAGAACAGCTTACCTCATACAACGATAACTTTAACACTATCAAACATTTGCCTATCACAGATCCTTGGGAAGGACTCAATAGGTGGATAAAAAAGGCCAAATCCCATCTAAACATTTGACTGACAGTGTGACTGACCATCATAATAAAAACCTACAAGCAGATCTTCCCTCTCAGTTGTATGCTGATTGCCTTAATTAGGGTTATTTGTAATCAGTGGATAATCCCATAATGATGTTAACCTGTTTTTAGCTATCTGTTTTAATATATCAGATGAATAAAAAAACAAATGTATTAGGAGATTCTTTTAAGGAGGAGGCAGTAATTTTGCAGTAAGGGAATATTATAGAAGAATTCCAAAAAACATCCAGTTAAGAAAGCTATGTTTTGGGAAATACTTTGCCTGTTCTGGAGAGCTGCAGCTGATCTAGTTGGCAGGTATTCATGGCTTTTACTTGGGGACACTCAAATAATGATGCAGTTATGGAATAAGCTAAATTCTGTTTCATCCACATTCATGTTTAATGAAAATATAGTTATGGTGCATACTCTTCAGTCAAGTATATAATGATTTTCAATTTCTACTTAATAAAAAATTAGACTTTTTAAGGTTTTTTTGCAAAGCTTAGAGGATGCATCCAATGATTTGGGGGTTATTTGTGGCTCTGGGGCTCAAGTTGTGAATCTATGAAGTAGATCATTCTCCATCTCCTATAAAATGACTTTCTATATTCCTATTTCTGATTGTGGATAAACATCTGAACTTTAGTATTCTAATTTGTTTTTGTCTAGCTGATCATGACTGTGTTTGAAAATAGCATGAAGGAAAGGGGAATTACTGAGAATGAGGCCTTTGACTGGGAGAAAGCTGGTACAGATATTTTATTATCTACAAGTACATCCACCCCACCTCAGCAGAATACAAGGCAAACTGCAGCCATGTTTGGGTGAGTGGCAGACTACATGTAACCAATATTGTGGAATCTCACTACAGGGCCTTTTGGTGTGCTGCCAAATTATTTGATATACAGTCAATATATATTTGTAATTACAGATCTTTCCCCAAAACAGATATGCTAACATTAATGCTATATATGAGCTTGACATGTTGAGTATATGTGATTATGTTTGAGTTGATTGAATCCAAATATGTCCTACTGTTTAGGGATATAATTTTTCAGAAATCCAAAGAATGTTTATCTAGTTTATACTGTGGTTCATGGTTAGTGGTGGGGAATGCAGAAATGCAGTTTCTCCAACTATGTGTCCTTCATCTTTTTGGAGTGGGGAGAGCTAAAGAAAGGACAGGAAAATATCACCTTCTGACCTCCTGTCATGAATAGGAGTAAACGACAGAGCTCTTCTCATAGAAGAAGACTTGTTGCATCATAAAATTTGCTGCTTCAGAACACTCTAATTTTTAAATCTTGGGAGATTCTCTGAGTTTGTGAATATTTCCCATTTGAGTGGATCTGGTGAAGACAATTAGGAAGAAATACACTGCCAATGTTATTTAAAGATCTTCTGTGGGAGTGGATAACAATTATTTGATGGGAAAATACTTATAGAATTATATCAAGACATATAGTTCTGTGGAAATTTTTGACCTTGTATTCTGGTTGCCTTGTATCCTATTAAGGCAATTCTCCTGAAAGATCATAAACATCAGTCAGAATCTAAGCATTATAGACATACAGTAAGCCAATAAAGAATATGCTGTTTTCAATAGTAAAATGCAAGAGGAATAACAGTTTCAACCATCCATTGAATTTAGTGGTATCTCAAGATGAGATAAGACAACTTACTTAAAGCTTCATGTTCTGTTGCAATGGGCTTTGTATGCATTATATATAGTATAGTAGTGAAGGTCTTTGTGATACTGCGAGAAATAATAATTATGTAATAATAATGTAATAATAATGTAATAATAATAATAATAATAATAATAATAATAATAATAATAATTTAGTTTTGTAATCTGAAGTTCGTACTTTATTTCTCCTTTAGTGTGGTTAATATCACTCCAATTCCTGGAGATTTACTTCGCGAGAACACAGAGGATGTTTTGCAAGGAGAACACCTGAGTGACCAAGAGAATGCACCCCCAATTTTATCTGTCCGGCCAACAGAAAATAACTTAGGGCAGGCTCCAAATGTTCCCTTCAATGAAGGAGAAGTTTGGGAAGAGACTGATGTAAATCGCAACAAACTCAGGATCAGCATCAGCAAAGTAAAGCTTTTTGACCATTTTGAATGTGTACTAATCTTTTCATTTTCTGCCAAAGAATAGTGATTTTGTGAGTAAACAATACAACCCTAAGTAAAATAGCTAATTTTAGACATGGAAGCATGTTTTAATGTAAACTGATTCTATCTGGCATTCAAATGAGGTGTATGTCTTTACTGAGCTAAAGATATAAGGGTTACATTACAAACTGCAATGTCTCTCTTGATGTTTAACATGAATTCTGTTATTTTATTGGATTATGTGTTCTTGCCCAAAACTGCACTATCACTCTTACACTCTCCTAGGTATAATCTTGTCAAGGATTGATGCATGTGTGAAATCAGATATTTAATTAGCACTGTCAGATGATAGGCTGCATCATCCTTGCTATCATGCGTATTTTTGTGGATTTATCTTATTCTCAAGGGTTTCTCCTTTTCTGTTTCAGACGCAGTGTTTAGCAGAAGAAGATCAGAAAAGTGGTGTATGCCCCATCTCCCCAGTGCGAGCAGTGCCAGACTCCCCTACAACCCAAGCACGTTCTCTGAGATACCGCCGTGTGAATAGTCCTGAGTCGGAACGCCTCTCCACTGCTGATGGAAAAGTTGATCAGCATGAACGAAGGTTTGCTTAGGGCCAATTAAGTGGCTTTTATACATTCTTATTCAAGCTTTGGGCATATAGCTAAGAGACAAAGAAAGCAATGCAAAAGCTGAAATAGCATCCCACCAGAGATCTGTATGTAATGACTTTTCATAAACTGTTAAAAAATTTGGTTGTCCTCCCAGGCCTTGGAACAGGATGGTTGTGGAAACTATAGTTTTTGTTTTCTTTTGATAATGTTTATGTCAACTGTAAAAAAAAAAAAAAAACCCACACAGACATATGTTGTTTCTCACCCAAATTCATCAAGGAGTTGGTTGACTTCGAAGTACAACAAACAAACAAACAAGCATTAAGTTAAGATTTAAATGGTCAGTTTATTTTGAATCGGTATTATTCCCCCCCCCCCTTTTTTTTTTTACTCAGACCTATCAATGCTAAGCGATGGAGAAAAGAAATTTAATTGTGCAGTTCATTACTTCAAAGACTTGCAGATCTCTACTGAATCTTTAAGTTGTTATGCTTACATTTTAAAATTACTAACTGTAGCTTGTCAATTAATAGACCATAACTTACTCATATAAATCTCTCTGATTTAGACAGATAAATGGGTTTTATTGAAATGTACAGTAATTATGTAATTCAGTGGGTATTAGTTCATCTAGATCCGTGATGGCGAACCTATGGCACGCGTGCTACAGGTGGCATGTGGAGCCATATTGGTGGGCATGCGAGTGTTGCCCTAGTTCAGCTTTAGCATGCATGCACGTGCCAGCCAGCTGATTTTCAGGCCTTCCAGGCCCGCCGGAAGTTGGGAAATAGGCTGTTTCCAGCCTCCGTGGGCGTGGGGAAGGCTGTTTTTGTCCTCCCTAGGCTCCAAGAAAGCCTCTGGAGCCTAGGGAGGTTGAAAAACAGGCCTACCGAACCCACTGGGCCATTACATGCCAAAACTGGGGGGAGTGCAGAGGGGTCACATGCGTGGGGGCGGGGCGCATTGAATTATGGGTGTGGGCACACACGTACGCAACCCCTCTGTGCTCCCCCCACTTTTGGTATACGATGGCAAAAAGGTCTAGACAAATGGAAAATAAAATAAAAAAATAAAATGTAAAAGCATAAAATGAAATTAAGTTATTTAAGTTAAGTAGCCTGAAAATGATTTAGTAGATGTTAAAAATTACTCTCTCTTTTCCTGGAAGATAATTCCATACGTGAGGCAACAGAATGAATAAGGTCCACTCATCTTGCACAGACGAGCAAAGGCATGCTGTGAGAGGAGAGTGGTCAGGTGGATACAGGTGTTTGACTCTGCTAATATTCTGTACCAAAGAAACATGTGACTAGTGAGTTATACTTGAAGAAAGGCAGCTTTAATATTCAGTTTGATCTTTTGAATTTTCAATGAATTTGGAAGGGAACAGATCCTATTTTAGGGAAGCTATTCTCAGAAGGTTCCTTAACTTAGATTATAGGAAATAGTCATCCCTATTATTCTTTAATAATCCTAAATTCTTAAGTTTAAAAATTAATTTGACCTGGCCTTCTTTGTTTTTATTTTTAGATCCCGAGTAGATTTACCTTGTTCTCCTTCCCGGCTTGTATGCTCTTCTCAACCAGCACAGATGCTTTCTATTGAGACTGGTCAGGTAGACCGACAGGCAAGTGGCAGGATGGATGTATCTGCTTCTGTGGAGCATGAAGCTCTCAGTAATGCTTTCCGATCAGTGCCCCTGGCTGAGGAGGAGGACTTTGACAGCAAAGAGTGGGTTATAATTGATAAAGAGACAGAACTGAAGGACTTCCATCCTGGCGCTGAACCAAGCACATCTGGGACAACAGATGAGGAACCTGAGGAACTAAAGCCCATAGAAGAAGGAGACGAAAGGAGGCAATTGGGTGCAGAAGCAGCAGTCAGGCCCAAAATACATGATGGGCGAGTCCGAGGTATGCAGCCTGTGGCTGAGGAGGACAGTTCCCACAGAAATGAAATGCAGTGCCACACAGTTTCTGAGAGTAAACATGAGCAACAACCAGGAAGCCCATCACAGTCCCCCTTATATTCAGCACCAGCTATCCGGCAGCGGAGACGAGAATCTGAGCCAATGGGTCCCGAGAGACAGGTAAGATATGCAAAAGAAATCCATCTCCTTCATATTGCCATTGTTTTTCATTTTAGTGATGTCTGTTTTATTTAGTGAAGTCATCACATCTGGGCATCATATCCAGATCGAGTGTATCTAAAGAATCGATACTAGTGTTATTACACCAGCATCAGTAATGTTTTATAGCAAATTCCATTAGAAGTGAATCCATGTGAATTGTTTTTGATGTAAAAAAGTCCTGAGGATCACCAGGGTGGTGGGAAACCTATGGCCTTGTAGATGTTGCTGAATCTTTTATTCCATTAGTTTGAACCAATATGGCCAATGATAAGGGATGCTGGAAGCTATAGTTCAAGCACAGGTTGTCCACTTCTGCTATAGAATGAGGACAGTAGATTGGAAGAATCAAATTAGACAACATCTGTGTGCTAATCCTGAAATATATATGTATTATTATGCATGGAATCAAAAGATAATTTGGCACTAATGTATACTTTCCTAGACTCCTAGGTTCAGAACAGACAACAATTTTTCTCTATTATTTCTCATCCAGAGAAAATCTCCTATTCTGAATACAAATAGGCCACCATCCAGTCAGCATTCTGTTTACAGCATTCTATAAACAGTCAGAATGCTGTTTACGACCAGTTCTCAGAGTTCCAGCCATCCCACCACCCCAGTGGGGAAATCTAAAAATTTTCCCTACCGGTTCTGTGGGCATGGCTTGGTGGGGCGTTCCTGTGACTGAGTGGGCATAACCAACTTGATGTCACTAATAGCCACGCCCACTCAGTCACATGACCCCAACCCCACCAAGCCACGCTCACAGAACCTGGCAGGAAAATTTTTTAAATTTCTATTTTCTATTCTAAAACCCTATTTTCCCCTGTTGTGAGATGCCTGCAGCTGCAGCCTCTTTTTTTCGGTGTGCCTTCTTGTTCTGAAAGATGCAGCAGCTGTAGGCTTCTTGTAGCGAAATTTACCGGAGCCGCTCTCCCCTTCTTAAGTGCGTGGGGGGAGGGACAGGCCTGGCCATGCCACACTCCAGCGCTTTCCCTTCGGCCTGTGCAGCGGCGGTTACCCAGCCGTGCCAGTGCAGGTAGCCCTTCATTTTGCCAAAGACCAGTTTGCAGCACTTATAGTCACATGGCCGGCCAGAGCGGGACATGGTGTGGGCGGAGAGACCAATGCAGCCCCACCGAGGCCACCCTGAGTGATCGCAGTGCCTCTGCAGCAACAGGCGTGCTACAGCCGCCTTCGCCTCCATGCACTACGCTTGGAAAAGGCTGCCGCCGCTGCCTTCCTGAAGCAATCCCGCTGTTGTTTGCTTTTATTTCGCTGCGGGAGAAGAAAGAAAGTGAACGGTGGCAGCGCAGCATATGCAAGACGCTCCCCTTCTTAAATGCACACTGTTGCCTGCTGCAGCTGATGAAAGCGAATAGCGGTGCTCCGAGAGGGCAAGCTGGCCATGGACGTCCCGGGGCTGCTGCACATGCACACTTGCATGTGGCGCGCCACCACTGTTCGCTTTCTTCCTTCTCCCGCTGCGAAATGAAAGCGAACAACAGCGGGGTTGCTTGTTGCCTGTTGCTGCAGAGAAACTGCAACTACTCAGCCAGGGTGGCCTTGGCGGGGGCTGCATTGGCCTCTCTGCCCGTGCCATGTCCCACTCCGTCTGGCTGCATGACTATAAGTGTGGTGGCCTGATCTTCGGCAAGATGAAGGGCTACCCGCACTGGCTCGGCTGGATAAGCGCCGTGACACAGGCCGAAGGGAAAGTGCCGCAGGCTCTGTAGTGGCGCGGCCGGCCTGGCCCTCTCCGCATGTGGGGGGCTTCCACCCTACCGGCCGCCGGAGGCTTCCGCTCCTCTCGCTCTGGTTCTTCACTGGCGGGAAGCAGTGCCGCGGCTGAGCCTCTTTCCCCCGGAGCACCACTCTGCAGGCCGAGTTCCCAGAGTGGTGCCAGCAGTCAAAGAGAGCAGGCAGGTGGTCGGGTGGGAAGCCAGTGGGCCGCTTTGGAGCCCCAAGCCACGCGGAGCCAGCATGGGAGGCACGCGGGCCCGGGTGGAAGGCAGCCTTTTCTTCACCATCCCCCTCCCCTCTTTTGATCGTCCTGCAGGGGGAGGGCTCTGCCTTTGCAGAAACGGGGCAGGCGAATATGCAGCAGCCCAGGGATGTCCACTTGCCCTCCCAGAGCACCACCGCCACCCCTTTCAGCCCCAGCTCAGCTTCTGCATTTCCACCAAGGGCCGCCCATCCACCCACTGGCTGGGCCGGGCTGGACGCTGACCTTGGAAGGCAAGCGGGCATGTGGGACCGCCAGGAAGGCAGCCTGGAAGGCAGGCAAGCATGGCAGGGCTGCGGGGAAGGGAGTAGGCTGCTAGCTCCTTTCCCTGCAGCCCTGCCATATTTGCCTGCCTTCCATGTGGCCTTCCGCTAGCCTGCCTTCACAAGCTGGCCACGGGGATGCCGGGAAGGCTGAGTGGAAGGCAGGGCTGCAGGCCACAGACAGGTTCAGGGGTGTGGCCAGCCAGCAATTGCTACCAGTTCGGCGAACCAGCCCCAATCTCCGCTACCTGTTCACTTGGACCGGTCCAAACCAAACTGGTAGCATTTCACCCCTGCAGCAGCCCCATGATCATGTGATCATGATCGAAGTGCTTGGCAGCCCATTTCTACTAATGACCAGTTGCTAAGCATTCCCCTATCATATGATTGCCATTTGCAATCTTCCATGCCAGCTTTATTTTATTTATTAAGAGCCGAGGTGGTGCAGTGGTTAGAGTGCCGTACTGCAGGCTACTTCAGCTGACTGCTACCTGCAGTTCAAATTTCATTGGCTCAAGGTTGACTCAGCCTTCCATGCTTCAGAGGTGGGTAAAATGAGGACCCAGATTGTTGGGGGCAATATACTGACTCTGTAAACCACTTAGAGAGGGCTGTAAAAGCACTGTAAAAGCGGTATATAAGTCTAAGTGCTATTGCTATTGCTCTTTCTATTTGTTTATTATTAAATTTATACGCCACCCATCTGGCCATCCCAAGTGGCTCCCAGAAAGTCAGTGAGGAAGCTAGCAGGGAAGGTTGCAGATCTCTGGGTTAAGATTTCCCTACCTATGTATCCTTTCCCTCTTGCTGGCCATTCATATACTCTTATGCACCCACCCCAACCTGCACCATACCTATCACTCATCTTATGTACTGTCTTCAACCTGCACAGTACCTCAAGGGCATCTCCTTGCACGCTCTGTGACCCATGCTGTCCTCCTCACATACTCCCTTGCACCCTCCTTGACCCTCACCATGCCTCTCATGCACTCTTTCAACCATGCACACTGTCCCTGACACATGCTTCACTGCTTGCATATCCTTTTGCACCCTTTTGCACCTTTCTTGACCTGTCCCACAGCTCTCACTTCCTCTTTCCATACCTTTGTGCTGTGTCCCTAACCTCCATGCTACCTCTCGCACATTCCTATCACCTCCTCTGATCCACTCTTGCACCCATGTGCTTCCTTCCTGACCTGTGTGGTGCTTCTCATGCTTCTTCCCTGAGCTGTGCAATGGCTGTTGTGCAACTTTATACACAACACAAGTGACAACACTTAGGGATGCAATCGTGCTTTATGACTTCATCTCTTGGCCTTGGAAAATCAAGTCCCAGTTGCCATTGTATGTTGTTTGACTTGGTGACTGGGGCGACAATGTAGCTAATCTTTTTCAAGCTAGGGCAAGATCTGGGTTGGCTTGCTATGCTTTTATTCAAGACTTATTTCACTTCCTTTTGATGCTGCAATTCCTGTGAACTACTTCTTTGGGTAGTTAAGGAACATTATCTATATTCGTGATGGCAAACTTATGGCACGCGTGCCACAGGTGGCACGCAGAGCCATATTGGTGGGCACGCGAGCGTTGCCCTGGCTCAGGTCCGGCACGCATGCGCACACTGGCCAGCTGATTTTCGGGCCTTCCTAGCCCACCGGAAGTCGGGAAACAGACTGTTTCTGGCTTCCGGAGGGGGGATGACCATTTTCGCCCTCCCCAGGCTCCTAGAAAGGCTCTAGAGCCTGGGGAGAGCAAAAAACAGGCTTACCGGGCCATCGCGTGCCAAAAGTGGGGGGAGTTCGGGGGGATGGGGTGCATTGAATTATGGGTGTGGGCACGCACACTCACGACCCCCTGCGCTCCCCCTGCTTTTGGCACGCAATGGCAAAAAGGTTAGTCATCACTCATCTATATATTACTAAAACTCTTGTGTCTGCTTGATGCTTTGTAACCTTTCATTGAGCGAAATCATAAGGCAAAACTCCACGAACAAAAGAATCTCAAATGGGCTAATGTACAGAATGCTGTATTTTTAAGGGAATGAATTTGGGAGAAGATTTTGTGCCCCTTTGTGCCTGTTGCTCAGTGCCACTGTTGCACTGCTGTGGTGGAAGGGAACTAGAAAGAAATGATAAGATTGCCAGGCTTCTTGTCACCTTCCCACTAACAAAGTCTTTGCTGGTGGAAAGCCTGCATGGAGAAAGTTAATGGAGAAATGGTGCACCTTTTACTAGTCCCTCTGCACTTGCACTGTGCCAGCCATTTGTGGAGTCACGTACTCCCCACATTTTGTACTTCCACATTTTGCATCCACTTACTTACCTGCTGGGAAGGAAAGAGTAAAGGAGGAAATACATTTCTGATGCTCGCTGCCAACTTCCCACAAGGAAGTTGGGAAGCTGACAGGAAATTAGAAGTTGCTCCTGCTGTCACTGATTTTTTTAACCCACCGATGATCATTCTTGTTCTCTGTTTAAGTAAGGAAATGAGTCACATGTTGTCTATTTCTTTATTAAAATAAACTATGCAGAACACTTTAAGAAAGTCATATAAATACCCAGTATTGTAGAAAAAATTATCATTACATGTCAGAAATAACATCTTAAAAAACTATTATACATGCCCCCCAAAACAAGTTTAACCATTATACTTCTTCAGTAATCAATATATTATAATTTTGTATTTTTATTTGT